ACCTGGGCCGGTGCTTCCCAAGCTTTTTGAGACCGGGAAAATGGACATACAGGCCAAATAAGTCACCTATGGCCACAGAGGCTAGACCAGAGCTCCCTGCTCTGGGCTCAGCAAAGCCAAGAGAAGCATGTTTCAACACCCCCAGCGCAGACAGTGGTGGTGGGTATGGGCAGGGCAGTCCTCTTCCTTGCCCCTGGCAGGGGGAAGCGATGGGGGCAGTGGGATGGGATGGGATGTGACAAGCCCTGGGCTCCACAGACAGACCCTGGGAGACAGCACGGAGGGAGGTCTGCCATTGCTCTGTGGTCCTACTGGTGAAGGGAGCTACGGGTCTGTGAGGGGGTGAAGCAGAGCCAGCACGAGACGAGGGCAAAGGGAAATTTTTCTGGGTGCCTTTGTCCTGAAAGGGGTGATGGGGAGAGGGCCCCATAGTGGGCAGAGTGGCGGTCACAGCCTTGCAGGGTGCTGGCATGGCTGGCAATGGCAAGAGGTCAGGCCTGCAATGCCCTGCTGGCACAGCACCCATCCAGGTTGCTAGACCCCCTCCTTTCCATGAGTCTTCCCCCAGATGAAAATGGACTGAAAGCAGCAGCAGAGGGGGTCTCCCAGCAAGGGGGTGCAGAGGGCGGCATCTGAACTCTCAACTGCGAAGGCGCCCTCTGCCCCTGCACCCATGCGCGCCTGGCAGAGCTGCATGTCACTGCCGCTGCCGCTCCGGTCCCTTGCGAGCGCCCGTCAGCTGCCAGCTGTGCCATCCACACAACGCACAGATCTCGCTACCAATTACCCGAGCGGAGACAGCTTTCAGAAACTCTGCCGAGCAGCCCCTGAGGGGAGGAGCGGGATGCCGAGGAGATGGCCTCCCCCCACCCCGCTCCCCCCTCGCCATCTCAGGCTCGGTCTAACTCCGGAGCCAAATGCCTCATCCTATCTATTCCACCTGACTGGTCAGAAGCGAACCTCCTCCTGCCCGCAGCCCTCGCTCACACATTTCCATGGTTTAAAAAGGGGCTTTGTTCCCTTTGCCCTCAGCCCAATAAAATAGCTCGGTCTCACACACACACACGTCTCTAGTGATGGATGCTGGAGAAAAAGAAACATGCCCCCCCCTCCCGCCTACCCGTAAGCATTGCAAACAGGGAGAGAGGGGAAACCCCCACCTTCTACCACCCACCGTCTATATTGCACTGCAGGGCACATGGCGAAACCCAGGTCTTGCACCCCTCCCCTTTGCACCACACCTGCCAGAGAAAACCTCAGCACCTTTCTGCTTTCAGGGGCAGGCGGCTGAGGCCAACGCTCACCCCATTTCCTGCTCCCTATTCAGCTAAGTGGGTCCACCCCTTCACCCTGCCACGAAAGAGAAAGAGGGTGAGGAGTTAGTCTGCTCAGAAGCCCTGGGTGGTGGGAAGGGGACTGGCTTTGCTGACCTCAGAGGAACCATATGGGTAAAGCCTCTCTGAGCCCGTGGATGCTCTCCAGGGCAGCAGCGAACCACCCCCGATGCCCCCACCCGTGCAGGAGTAGCAGCCGCGTTACAGATCTTGGAGGAGAGCCCTGATGAAACCATATTAATGGCCTCAGTGTGAAGGGAGGGAGGCACCGCTCCATAAATCAATCTGTGGTTGAGGAGTTTTCTAGGGTAGAGCCTTGTTTGTGTAAAAAACACATTATTGCTAATTAAAGATGCCTCCGTGCCGGCTTGTCAAACCCTCTGTTTCCAGCAGCTGGCTCTGGACCGCTTGGGGAGCTGTCGCAGGAGGGGGTGGGGATGCTCGAGATTCGCTGTGCACTTGTACTCCATCTTCCTCCCCCCTCAGCGCTCAGCGGGGAGCAAGGGGCAGGAGGAGCCTTCCTTACAGACAAACCGGACTTAAGTATTCCCAGGTAAACACCCAGTTCTCTTGGACGGCCCTTCCCTGCCCAAGGTGTATGTGTATCCAACCATGGGTGTCACCATGCAGAAGACACCAATCTCTGGGCCAGATTTGCACCCCAGGGTTTGCAGTCAGCCCCACCTTTGCTCGATCAGGTCTCGTTAACACCTGCGACTAGGTGTTTAAAAGGCAACGGGGACTATTTGCTGCCCTTGATTATCCTACGAGAAGGTGGTAAGAATTCATGTGTCCTGCCAGGCTGGTCCGTGCATGGGAAAGAGGTTGCTCCAGACCAGCATCCGACTTGGAAGATTAATGATACGACGTGAAAGTCATGCGAGATGGGAGAGTTTTGCTTATCTAAAGAGAAGCGGGGATGTGTTGGGGGCGGGGTGGGACAGGCGATCCTCGTGGAGGGGGGATGTGGGATGGAGCAGTTGCTTAACTTTCTGGGAGCTGGGCGGCAACTGGTCTGTGCCAGATTCTCCCATCTCTCTCTAGCGCTATCGGGAACCAAGGGTTTAAAAAAAAAAAAAGAAAAGAAATCAAAACAAATCTCAAAACTTTAGGGTTTCGGGATTAAAAAATACAGAGCCACGGCTCCCCAGCTGGTGGAGGTGGGCACGGCGCCACCGACATTCCTGTGCCAGGTCTCCAGCTGGTAGGAATGGGCACGGCGCCATTGGAGTCAATAGAAGGAGGCCGATTGTAGCAGGCGAGGATCTACCCCTGAATTTAAAGAGGTAGCAGCCCTAAAGAGAGGAGCGAGAGCAACCTGATCAGTCTCTCTGCTCCCCGTTAGTACTGCGCTGATGATGTCCCCTTCCAGGAGCATCTGCCCCCCGCATGAGCTGACACGGTCCTTGCCTCCCTCTCCCCCCCTGCAGCTGTCACACTGGGATCTACTGTCCTTGAAAAATCAACCCAGCGTCTGCTTGGTGTGGGGAGGAGGAGAGAGGGGAAGAAGCCATGCACACCAACTCCTTGGTGTCTTCAACACCCAGCAAGGTGTGAAATAAGTGAGAGTGCGAGAGGTTAAATGGCTTACAGCTGCTAATGGAAAGAGATGGATCACATCACCCCCTTCATCAGGTTACCACACCGGTCTGCCCCACTATGGGACCACTGCAGTCTGTGGATGCCCTAGGTTCATCTTACAGCGCCAAACCTTTCATTAGACTAGGGAGACCCACGTAAAGCCCAAGCTACCTAATAAACCCTAAGACCTGACTAGACCAAGCCTTGGCTGGGACAATGCAGGTGGAGCTGGTCCTGCAGGGGGTTGAGCTAGACGTGACCTCCTGAGGTCTCTTCCAGCCCCCATTTTCTTTGATTCTACCTACAAACCTGAAGCACAGCCCTCATCCGGGGACAATCTGAGTGTGTTCACAGTCCTCCCAAAATCAGTGGACTACGTACCAAAAAAGCTAAGTGAGTTTTTGTGAGCTTGGGGCCCCTGCTTATAGGCAGGTTAGGGGCAAGAGATACCACCAAGTTCTCTGACACAGGATAAAGAGACACACAGAGCAAAGACATCGCCCCCCACACCTTTCCAATCCCCTTGTACTGTGCCCTACATCTTCACAGGGGCAAGGGAGGAGTGCTGCACTGCTGCAAGATGCATTCACAACCTTTCAGGCTCAGGAACAGAGGCCCCTTCTGACAATTCAAAAAAGCTTATGTCTTTCCATGGCATGATGGGGGACTGTGATTTTATAGGATCTGTCATCTGCATGGGTTTGGTTATTAATATTTCAGAGCCCTGAGATGGGAGTTACACCTACGTTAGTTTTTATTTTTGCATTAGATGTCTTTTCTGGTCCAATTATAGATTAATCACATTTTATCTCGCATCCGTTTCTCCCCCGCCTCCCTGCCCACCCCCACCCAGAGAAAGAGAGAAACTTGCAAGCTATTAATTGGCTGCAGCTCTCTACCGGGTTTATCATCTGTGCACATGGAGCTGTGAATAGCGGCGAAGGGGATTGAGCAGCATGTGGGGAGAAAGTAAGGTGTTTTTCTACCAGGGAAATAGCATTAGGCTCTGGGAGTTGGATTGCACTGAATGCTTGTCAGGGATAAGGATGGCAATGTGAAGCCCCGAGCTTGGGAAAAGTAAAAGAAAGGAGATAGCAAAGAGTCTGGATGCAGAAATCTCAGGGATCCATCAAGAAAGCAGGGGAAGGAAGGGTGAGCTCAGCTGGGCACTTGTAAGGATTCAGCTGCTTAGCTGCCAGAAGAGACATCTATGACGGTGGTGGTAAAAGGGACCTGATGTCCAGCTACAAACCTGTTTCCATGTCATGTCTGATGCCAGGGAGCTACTCAGAGGCTTTACTAGGTGCTGCCTGAGCCAGACGGAGGAGTCTGTGCAGTGTCTGCGGGAGCAGCAGACAATTCAAAGAGGCCATGGGCCAGGGTGACCCAACTTCCTCTCTCACCCTGTGGTTTGGATCCTTCCACTCGGTGCCTTATGCCAAGGACACTCACCCTTCTCATTACCCATCCATTACCCATCGGCACTTTGTGCATCTTCCCCCACCCCATGGCCAATGCCCGCTGGGGTAGAAGGCATGAATGCCAGACCTGAACACTGCCCCTTATTCCCCAAGACGCTCCACTCTGATCCACCCCATGGAAATAAATGGCTGAATGGGACAAAGCTTTACGAGGAAAGCAGCATGTGGAATAATATTCCCTTAAAGCTATAGATGGCTTCATCCCTCCCCTGGAAACCAGAAAATGATCCACAAAGGCGTTGAGTTTTCCCAGGAACAACAGCAGACACCGCAACCCTGCCCCTCTCCTGGGCAGGCTGAGAGAGGCTCCCACATCTGGGAAGTAGGGATGGCCCAGCCATCTCTGGCTGCAAGAGGGAAGGGGAAGGCGTGCATGCGTGCGTGCTGTGTGTGTGTGTGTGTGTGCTCTGTGTGTAGTGTGCGAGAGCAAGCTGTGGTTTTGCTCAGGGGAGAGAGGAGTGAGTCAGGCTGGGAAATAGATCACTGGGTCAGGGAGGCGCTTTTCCAGCAGTCAGCTGGAGGGAGCAGAAGAGGCTCAAGTGATTTGCTTTCAAGTGCATCCTGAGCACAGAAATCAAGCATTAGGAAGTGATCCGGTACTTACCATCTTGCGGCGTCGGCAGCGACTGGGGAAAATAGTTGACGGGCTTGTCTGCAAAGAAACAAACAGAGAGGGGAGATCAGAGGCTGCAGGGGTGTCAGCTGGATTCACACCCCCTCCCCGCAGAGGCACTGTCTGTATCCCGAGGATGAGATGAGCAGCGCTTTGCTCCCGTCTTTCCCCCAAGCAGCTCAACCTTTGCACGTTGCAACCTCCTTCTCTAGGAGGCAGGCACAGAGTGACGAAGGGGCTGTCCCCACGGTCACGGGCAGTCGGGGACAGAGCCCAGGAACTTCTGTCACCGCTCTAACCGCAGGCAGGAAAGATCCTGTATGCTCTCCTAAGACTCTTCCAGATCCAATAGGTCTGAGTATTTCCTGCAGAGCTGGATCTCTGCACCTGGTTGTGGCGAGGGACAGGGCTACAGGTCTGGGAAGCGATGTCCTCCCAAATCCACTCCCTGCCATTCAGCGGGGAGGTGACTTCTGGCTGCCTCTGGCAATTGTGTGTCATTCCACTAAGGCCGCCCTGCCCAGCTGTGATGCAAAACAAACTATTTATTACCTCTCCTGCCACCCAAGATGCAGATTCATCAAGTCATTCAACTTGATCAGCCGCCGGGTTTGGGTAGGCAAGGGGGGGACAGAAGGGGCTGGCGGGACAAATGAATGCGTAGCCTGGGGCACTGTGACAGGAGTGCTCCAAGCCAGTGACTGAAAGAGCCTGGGAGAGATCCCATGAACAAAGCCTGGTGGGTGGAAGTCCAGCACCTTTCCAAGCCTTCCCTAGAAACAGATCTCAATGGGGCCTTCAAAAATTGCTTTCTGTTGCACTGGATGTCACCGTTCGTCCCTGTGTATCCTATTTCCCCATGGGATGCCCAGATTTACGTGTAGGAATCTGGTTTCACACAGCTCTGCCGTGTGACCTCCCCGAAGTCAAGAAGTCAGGGACAGAGGCAGGACCTGAAGCGGGGTTTTCCCGAACCCCA